TCTTGTTTTAAGGCAGGAGAAAGGCTATTGATATCTCTGATGATAGTTCATGTTTGTATTTATTCATCTGCATTTGTAGCTCTTTGAGTTTGTATCAGAAAAATAATGGGACATTTCCATGTGAACTTGTAATTTTTGAAAATTAGCATAGAATAATTTAGAGTTCATATTTATAATTACCAAGTCATACTTTGTTTATTTTCAGTAATGGAAAGTTACTTTGTTCTTAATTCTTTTGTGTGTGCTATATAAATTTGATAACAGTTTTCATTATTTTTAACACTTAAATATTGATAATTTTAAGGGATTAAGTATTTTTTCATTTTATGAAATAGACAATTACACAATTTGTTCGTTTTTTTGGAGAGCTTTATAATAACCTCGGTTTGTATTGTATATCTTTCTGATTTTATTATTTCAATAAATGATCTTTTTCAGATTTTTTATAAATTGGTGGTATTGTCATGTTTTTGTCTTATGAAAAGAACTCTCGTGGTGCCATGACTAAGGCATTTGGCTGCTAACCAAAAGGTTTGTGGTTCAAACCCACCAACTGCTCCCTGGGAGAAAAACAAGGCAGTCTGCTTCCATGAAGATTTATAGCCTTGGAAACCCTGTGGGGCCTTTATGAGTTGGAATTTACTCGATAGCAGTAGGTTTGTTTGGTTTTATTCTAAATAACAAAATCACTGCAAATTACTAAAACTCTAATGTTAAATTCCCACTGTAAGAGTGTAATTTTCTCTAATATACACCATGATTAAGAGGTGATTGAAGTATATTAATGAGAATTTTGGGTGCTCTGGTAGCATAGTGCCTAAGGCACTTGACTGTTAACCAGAAGGCTGGCGGTTCAAACCCACCGGCCACTCCTCAGAAGTTAGATGGGGCAATCTACTTCCATAGTGATACTGCCTCGGAAACCCAAGGAGAGGTCACTATGAGTCGGGTTCCACTCGACAGTACATAACAACAATAACAACAACAGTGTATATACTATATATATACTTGTACATATACTGTATTTTCACTCTAAACTTTTAAATAGCTCTTAGAATTTTCTGGGTGTTTTATAGAGACTGAGTTGACCTTATGGCTGAAATATAACTTGATACAATTTAAAATTGCTCTTTTAGTATACTTATTACCCATAAATTAAAATACTTTAGTGTTATGCAAACTTTTACTTTAATTTCTGCCCATTAATAGTTTTTCTATTTAAGTTTATTAAACTAATAGCCATCATTTATACAATCTAATATTTTTTTAATTAAAATTCTTCCTGTATTTATTTCCTTTAAAGTTATTATAACTTTTAAGCTTCCAAAGATTTGAATGCTTTAAGTACTTAGTGTTTTTAAAATTGTTGAATCAATGGAAAAAAAAAAAACATTTGCCTTTAGCATATTTACCTTCAACCTGTAAATGGCACTTTAAAGCAAACTTTTAGAAGTTTAAGATAAATTACATATGATATTATAATTTAATTTCAGAACCCGTTAAGGAATTAAGAATGGCTACATAGGAAAGAAGATAATGTTGTTTCATCTTTAGCTGAAGATATTGCTTTTCTACATTATTTTTTTTTTCTTATATATAAATACATGGTTAAGATTGCAGATTTCAGAAAGGACTTACATTAATATTAGTGACAAAATAGAGTATACTCTATCTGATATTACCAGTTTAGAAACAAACAGACAAAAAAAACTTGTGAAATGTGTTCATCACTATCTGATAATTTATAATCAGTTTTATTATTTGCCTTATTCGATCATTTGTAATCAGTTTTGTTATTTGCCTTACAAATAGATCTTTCAATTTACTAATCAGTTCATCTAAGAATCTTTTCAGTAGTCTGTCTTGGAATATTTGAAACTAAAAGCCTCTACCAATAACTTTATGAGAAAAAGATATGCTCTGTGACAGATACTCGAACACACACATACAGAGAGAAAGAGAAAGAAAATTAAGTATGTTTTGGTAAAAATTTCACCTTCTACATAGTTGTTAACATTTACCAAATCATGTCAATGATGATGATGTAGCCTGATCATGAAAGAAATAGAAATGAATGGAAAGGTAAAGTTGGAACAAGGCTAACAGAAAAATACGGAAGAATATTTTCTGTCAATAATCTTTTCTGTATGAGGGCCAGTTTTGACATTGTAATAAAATTGTGGGGGTTGCACTTATTTTCAATTATTTGTTTTTTTTTATAATTACATACTTTTTTTGTCAGAAATGCTTTACCTTTGGTATGATTAAGCATTCTTCTGTTATATCTTCATCTGTGAGGGGGATCTTCCTTTGGCTAAAAATCAGAAAGTTAATAATTCCTAATATAATTATATAGGAGCTCTGATAGTGTAGTACCTAAGGCACTTGACTGCTAACCAGAAGAGTGTGGTTCAAACCCACCAGCCACTCCTGGGAAGGAAGGTTGGGCAATCTACTTCCATAGTGATACTGCCTCAGAGACCCAAGGAGGGGTCACTATGAGTTGGGTCCAACTGGATGGCACATAACAACAACAATATAATTATATAGTAAACCAAATTCACTACCACTGAGTTGGATCCAACTTGTAGAGATCCCTCCTTAGGTTTCCGAGGTGGTATCACTATGGAAGTAGATTGCCCAACCTTCCTTCCCAGAGTTTGAACTGGGTTTGAACCGTCCGCCTTCTGGTTAGCAGTCAGATGCCTTAGGCACTATATAGGAAGTGATTATAATGCTACATTTGGACGAGTTTGTTCTTGAACAAAACACTATCTTAAACTAGTTTGTTTTATCTTTTATGGTTTTCTACGCCATTTAATTTTAAGATACTGTTTAACCTTCTCATAACACTAAATATTTTTATAACAAAAGGTTTTATTTTGATTGCAAATAATAACCTTTTCTACAAACACATACTCCTTGGGCCACTTTGAAATAATAAGAGCATTTTGTTTAGGGGGGCACATGGGGGAGTGACTATATCAAAGGTTTAACTTGTATTTGGAGAGTATTCTCTGTAGCCATACTGCGTGTCTCAGTGCCTCATTTTTCCCCCTTCTCTTATTTCTGAAGCTTCACTGAGAACTCATAACCAACTGACAGGAAAACCAACTGATACATCCTCCTCTGTCTCTCAGATCCTGTTTGGAAATGAAGGACTTGATCAGCCTGAGGCTACAGGCAAGAGTTGTCCTGGATCTAGGCAGCCTCTCTCCTGGCCTCTGTTTTCCCATCTGTGAAATGAGAGAACTGAAGTTTGACTGCAGGCAATTTGAAATCTAGTGGATTATAATTTGGACTGGAGGCTTTTGGTTACTTATAAGTCATCTAAATGAGATACTAAATTATGATTAATTTTATTTTCCCATTTTGTTTCATAGCCAAGATCAAAATAATATGCATAACCAGGGCTTGTAGGCTAAGACACTAACATACAAATAATAAAGCCATCAGCATATAAATAGACTTTTATACTAGATTCATTGTTTGCCAGGAATTGTCATAACATAAACCTGGTCATCATATATCTTATTTTGTACATTTACTTTTTTGAAATAAAATTTCTTTGAATAGTATTTTCATGAAAAAAACTTTAATAAATTTTTCATTCTTTAGGGGACTGCAGATGAGATAGACAAGCTTGTGTTCAGCACGGAGATAGTCATTCAAATATTAACAATTGATATTCTTAAAATTTGCAATGAAAACCATTCAATTCTGGTTAGCATTTCAATGTTGAGAAATTTTCACTTTGTTAAATTTTAGTACAGCTGTACATTATGGTCTAATACGGGCATCAACTAAGGTAGCAAAGGATAGATCCTTTTGGATGTGTTTCCAAATTTAATACTTGTTTAAAACATACAGATCTATGTAGAAAGATAGTGAATGATACAGACACAGATATGACCAATACCACAACTGTACATATCTCCACCTCTTCATTTCACTCATTACTGATTCCTGGAGTCTTGCTTGTTCATTTGTTTCATATAAGATTTAAGTATTTGGAGAGAATGTGGGACCGCGTCCCCTTGGAGGTTTCAGTATTTGCTTATGAGCGAAGGGAATGTAATGCATTTTTTGGGAATGTGACTTCCGAAATTTTACTTTAGGGTTTTTCTATGTAATTATACTAGGAATTTCTGAACAGCATGTTGTTGTTTTATGTGCCATCAAGTCGGACCCGACTCATAGCGACCCCTCCTTGGGTTTCCGAGGCGGTATCACTATGGATGTAGATTGCCCAACCTTCCTTCTGAGGAATGGCTGGTGGGTTTGAACCGCCAGCCTTCTGGTTAGCAGTCAGGTGCCTTAGGCACTATGCCACCAGAGCTCCAAGTATTTATGGTGTAGATGGTGATTATTAAACAATAATTGGAAGCTGTGGCAACTAAAACAGTGTTTTTTGTAGAGTAAGCATTTTAGTTGACGATGGTTACACTGAAGAACTTTTTACCTGCAATCTGAGAGCTTGCATTCAGTAAAAAAAAAATCATACAAACTTTGTTTAGGCAGAAAAACAGATCTTCTATTTCAAAATATTTGTATAATTATTTATTTTTAAATTAAAAACCTTCTGAGCCATGTAGTTCAATAAGTAAGCCTATAAATTCTGAGGTGCAAAGCTTGCAAATCCAATTTAGCTTTTGCTTATTTTAACTTCTGTTTATTCCATTTGGGTAAGAATGATGAAGGTGAAAGAAAGGATGTGGGTGAAGAAAATCAACAAGGGAACAGTTGTTGCTCACTTATTTCTCATACCTACAGACACTTTAGACACTCCAGTAGAATAGGCTTCAAGGAGGAGCTTGATTCACTTGCTGAATGTGGGTCCTATTTATCTTTATTAAGTTCATTTTATTCATTAGATAAAAGTATTTACTGCTTCAAGATTATTTGTAGCCATCTTATTTGGACTATTCAGTTTGGAATTTTATTCAGGCTTCTTAAATATCTGTTTGTTTTGTTGTTGTTTATTTTTTTTTTTTTTAAAGAGATTTCCCAAAGTTGCAGATGGCTGGCTCATCTCCAAATACCTCTTCAAGGTACTCTATGCTGGTGATGTCTCCCGCCACTGAGCTGCACGGGAGCATGGAATTGACTTACTGGGGAGGGCTGTATCAGTTAAGTGATCTTTTTTAGTACATTGCATGGGTTTTGCAAAACTTTCAGTTTTGTTTTTGTTTTGGAATCCGGAGGGCATAAGTATACTTGTGGTAATTAAAAAAATTAAAACCATGTTGTAAACTCACACAATATAATAAACTGCTCTCCTTCCTCTACCACATATCCCCTCCATATTTCTACTAAGTTACATGCCTTTAATTACTTCCTTATTGATCATGCATATATCTGTTATTTATATTTTATTAGAACTCAATGATATAAGATTTATTAGCATATCCTCAATTTTGTAAGTGCTGTGTAATAATATTTTTATTACATGAAAACTGGGGGTGCAGAGAAGCTGTGTGAATTTCCCTAAATCATTGAGTAACACACAGGTGGGAACTATCAGCAATAACCGTGCTTTACTCTTCTTGAACCATTGGTAGAGTATTCTTTAGGTTTCTTTATCCAGGTAGCACACATAGTCTTATTCCTTAATTCAAAAAGTTTATATTGAGTTCTTGCTATATGCAAAATACTACTAGGCCTCTGTTCTTAAAACTTTATGATCTAACCTTTTATTTTGTTTTTTAGATAGAAAAGAAATACGTAGTCATTATTTTTAAAAATTACAATAGACAAAGGATAAAATGTAGAAAGTAAAATTCTCATAAGAAATCATTTTTACCATTTCTTTTGTTTTGTATTCCCTACTGATAGTCTAAATCACTATTGAAGCAAATTACACTTTATTTCTTCAGGGACATTTTTGCATTATTCTCTGTATAGGCTTTAGCCTTCAGTTCTCGAATTCAGTCTACCAATATCTTAAGTTGTATTTTAATAACTCCAGGGGAGGAAAAAACTTTATACTCTCTTTGGAAAGATGATAAAATTACTGAGATAAAAAAGTATATTAAGTGAAAATCAATTTTTCAGATTTTTGAGGAGCCTAGTTACCTTAATTTTTTTTATTTTGGAAGGTTATGGATTGACTAATTTTTATGGTATAGGTACTTACTTTAGATTTTATATTTGTGTAAATTCCTTACCAGTAGAATTGGATATTAAATTGTCAGTAATAACAATTGTGTTATATAGATGAGAAAACTGTGATTCATAATAGCCAAATAATTTACTTGAGTAATTGTTCTAAGGTAATTCAGTATACAATCTAGACTCTAATTTCTTTAGATTCAGTTTAGGATGTAATTAAAATTATTTTGTAAGTGTTTAAATTTTAACTTCTTTTTTTTAGAACATTAGTATCAAACCTTAAGAAATTAATCAAGGTCATAACTTTTCCTTGAGAATTGAATGGTTTAATAATTATAAACCTCAACTAGTAGTACTTTCTAAAACAGGAACAGATTTTGATCTCTTGTAGAATTGGGGATTTGCTCTGTTTAGTTAAAGGATAGTGGAAACTATCAAACTTGCTTTCATAAATTAGTTGTAGGAAGTATAGAGCTGCTGCTACAAAACATAAAGTTAAATATTTAACTGTTAACATATGGCAACAATGAATCCACACTTGGCCAACTTCTTTAAATATCTGAAAACGTTTCCGGTGATATGAAAGTAGCTTATGAAAATTTATGGGGGATATCTTTCGTTTTGTTGCTGGTCTAGATGAATAGCAACTGAAGGGTCATTTTCTTTGATATTGTCAGCTAGGTAATGTAACACTAATAGAACTTCAGTTTGTAAGGCTAGTTTTTCATTTCTTATATGCATAATAACTAAGCACTGTCACAAGGTTGGAGAAAGGAAGGTACTTAACAGATTCATTTAAAGATTTATATTTTATATTCTCAAAGATGATGTGCCCTTAGCCACTGCTTAGTAGAGAAGCATTTTAGAAAATTTAGTTCTTGTTCTTAGAAGGTTTCATTCTGGCCATAAAATAAGCCATAAGGAAAACACAGACGTGTTGTAAGATATAAATAGTTGTCTAACTTAAATATGGAGAAAGATTAATTTTAGAATGACTGTGGGCCTTGGAGATCACAGGCCATTTGTAGATCACAGGCCACAATTTAGTGGGAAACATCGTGCAGCTTGTCAGTAGCCAATCACGTATCAGTTTAACAGATGTTTTACCATATAATTCTGTGCTTCAAGTGAATTATAAGCATACTGGTGGAAATATAGATTTGAAAAGCTTGTTTAACTTTGTCATTGATTAAGTAACTTTGAACACTGACAATCAAAAGCGTATGCTACACCTAACACTCGAGATTTTAAGATAATTCTGTTAGTGACAACATATCTCTTACCTGGAATAAAATTTCTTCAAGTATAGACTCATCAGTTTTTTGCGTTGTGTTTGCTTTAGTAGTTATTTTAAAGGAAAGGAAAATATCTTATGAGTGACTGTTATTTCAGTAGTGATTTTAAAAGGCATTATATCATCAGCATGTACTTTTTGGAAAAAAAAAAAAACTTTCTGTTGAGTACTGGTTATAGCCTAATAGCCCAAGTACCTCTTTTGCTAGTAATTAATTTATGTGTAAGAAAAACCGAATTCTTCTATAAACCATTTTAAATTAAATATAACATTTTTTTAGTAGATGAAGAAATTATTCATTTAAATATAATTCTAGTATATATAGATACCTTATGTGGAACTGTGTTTGGAGGCCATAGCAAAGAAATCCACCTTCTCTTAATCAAAGTGGAATCTTCTAAACATTGAAAGTCAGTTTCTTGAATTAAGAACTTCACTTTGGAAATGATACACATGTAAGAGGGCAGAATCCATCCAAATCATCCTCATATCCAGTTTGTTAAGTAGATAAAAGTATAATGAAGATATTGTTGGTTTATTTCAAGTCTTACAAGTCATGATGATATGGCACTTTTAATTTGCTTAGTTTCTCAGTGTGTAATTTGGGAATCTTGTAGATAGCACAGCCTATCGATAGCAGGAGTCCCAAGAATTTTGTGCTTACTGAGTCTCTGTTTGATCTCAGTCTAGATACATGGTTTTTCTATATCGTTGATCCCTCTCCTCTAAAACAGGGCTTTGTTACACTCTCTTGTTTTTCTGCATCAGTATTTAAAAATTTATGAAAAATTATTTTCCTCAATTATATGAAACTTATGAGAAGCTTTAAAAATAGCGTAGAAAAACAGAAATCATGTCCTATGCAAAAGTGGTGGACCCTTGTATATTTCCTCACAAAGGAAGTTCTAAGTCATGAGCAGTCTCTGCTTCACCTTTCTCCTTGGCTACTCATCAAGTTCCCACCTAGGTGGTTGCCCTTTTGTCTAATATCCTTGCCCATTTCTCTGACTCCTCTTTCCAGGATTCTCTCTTTAGGGAGATTTAAAGTCACTGGATAAACCTTGTGATGCTCTCTTCCTTTACGATCCCCGCCAGTGTTTACTACTCCTAGCATAAATGTTATTTATGGAGGGACTCCTGGCAGGTATACCTATCATTTTGGAATTGTGGAAAGATCCCAAATAGTAGAAAGGACAAAAATTACTTGAAATTAAAAATACTTTGGGGAAGTGAGTTTAGAATGATTGGTATGGGCTAAGGCTAGATTTGGGAGTTAATTTCAAATCTTTAGCGTCTACGTAAGTAATGGGAAAAACTTAAATTTGTATCCCATTCCTACTTTGTTATGTGGTACAAGGGGAACTTGTGTTGGTTCCATATTTCAATGGAAATAGTAATAATGGTAGTAATAATACTTGTTAGCATTTACTGACTACTTGGTGGGTCTTAGGCTCTGTGTTGATTGCTACACACTCATTATTTCATCTAATCCTTAGAACAGTGTGTGCTATCAGGTAGGTTCTCTATTATTTTCAGTTTATAGAAGCAGCTCAGTCATAGAACGTGAAGTTATTTGGCCAGGATCATATAGCTAGAGTGTGATCTATCTAGGATTGCAGCTCAGGTCTCTCTTCTCAAAAGCTCATGCTCTTAACCACTAGACATCCTGCTTCCACTCCAAATGGCTAAACTATGTTAAGGTACTGTGCCAGGAACTTTTAACTTCAAGGAGAGAGAGAAGCAAAGGAAAGTGATGGGAAGAGATTGAGAGGAAAAGGGGAGATTATTAATAAACTTTCTATTTGTAAGTTACTAGGTTTGATTTTTTTAAGGGACATTGAATTTTATAGATATTTGAATAAGAATTTATAGATGTTTTTGGGTTTTAAATTACACATGTTGTTGTTGTGTGCTGTCAAGTTGACTCCAACTCATAGTGACCCTATAGGACAGAGTGGAACTGCTTCAAAGCAGTTCCAAAGCTGTAATCTTTGTGGAAACATATTGCCACATCTTTCTCCCATCAAGCTGCTGGTGAATTAGAACCACCGACCTTTCGGTTGGAAGCTGAGCACTTAACCACTGTGCCACCAGGGCTCCTTTTATTTATTTATAGACAAAGCTAAATGTATTTGTTTAGAATATTTGATATATGTAACCTAGAATGCGGGCATTTAATACCAGGTTGTCATTGCAATTGTTACTATAAAATGATACTAATTGAATTTATAGGCAAAATTAAAGTTTTTATGTGAATTTCAATTAAGATGATCTGCTTTGTGTTAATTTACCAATTCATTTATTCAACAAATATTTGTGAACTACCTACTGTGAGTCACTATGTCAAGTGCTGGGGATTGATTTAAAGACAAGATATAATCTGGACCTCAGTGATCTTTCTACCTACTAATATAGGACAGTCAGGTAAATATAATTTTATCATAAAGTGTGGTAAAAATAAAGTGTCATAGGGGTAAGTAAACACAGAGTGCTATGGCAGCCCATAAGAAAGGACTAATCCACTGTGGAGTTCAGGGATGGCTTAATAGAAGACATGGCCTTTAAACTGACCTGTATGGCGTCTAGCAGTTGCCCACCATCATAAGTAGAGTCTCTACTGGTTTATGAACCATAAATAAATTATTAGAAACACCAGGGGAACTTTTTTAAAAATACCAATGCCTAGGCCCTTCCTTCTTCTTCTTGTTGTTTGCCATCAAGTCGGACCCATCTCATAGCGACCCCTCCTTGGGTTTCCGAGGCAGTATCACTACGGAAGTAGATTGCTCAACCTTCCTTCTGAAGAGTAGCTGGTGAGTTTGAACCACCAGCCTTCTGGTTAGCAGTCTAGGGCCTTAGGCACCCAGCTTAAGTATTTTGTAAAAAACAAGCCAGCTATTCTAATGGGCTGCCATGGTTAGGAATTAGTCAGATAAATAGCCTACCATACATTGTTTCTGAAATGGGGATTACTGACAAGAATACTTTCTGATGTTACTGAAGAGAAGTTATTTCTCAGGACAGGAAGATTTGAAATAAGTAAATAATTAAAAATTATAATTAGATTTACAAATATAAAATGGCAATCTTTCTACATTAAGATTAAACTTTTTCAGGTAAGACTATTCATTCCAGAGAACTTCGAAAAGTATTTAAGTAGTTCTCATTTCCCATTAAAAATATTAAGAGTACAAAATGGTTCTCATGTACCTAATATTCAGAGTCCTGCCTAGGAATATTAATAATAAATAATATATAAACAGTAAAACTTTTGGTCTTACACAGACATAGTTGCCCAAATCTGATAGATCTGAATGGTAAACGGATGAAGAATTTTTCTTAGGTTGATGACTAGAATAGAACAGATGAATGACAGAGGAGAGCTCTGTGTGTTATTATTTTTTTTCTGTTTGTGTTACTAAGTAGAGAAACAGGTTTAAAGTGTAATAAGTGACACTTAAATTAATGTTAACTAGAATCAGAAGGAAGATTTCTTTGTGCTATCTAAAAAACTATAGTTGAATAATAGGATATTAAAGTGCAAGACATATTTTAGAGCCTAGCCCCTTTTTATTTCATTTTGTTTTATTTTCTTCTTGAGAAAACTATTCTACAGTTCTGTTAAGTAAATCCATAAAGTAAAATGACTAAAGTCAGAACAGTAGTAGACTTAAGGCCTGTTACCTTTTCTACTAAAGCACAATTTATTGCCCTTTATTTTTCAGAATTTTCTTGCTCTTGGAATTTTGAATTTTCTAGTCTGGTTTTTCTTTTACCTTTATTTTGTATTGCAATTTGTCTCCTGAAGGTCAAGTAACCTGGTTTGGTTACGAAAGTCCTCGTAGCTTCTGGGACTATATCAGAGTGGCTTGCCGGAAAGTCTCACAGAATTGTATCTGCAGCATTGAAAATATGGAAAATGTCAATTCCTCTAGAGCCAAGGTAAGAAATTGATAATAATATACAATGTGGATAATCTAATCATAAGCAGTTTTGACCCAAATAGAAAATATTTGAGGTCTTTGCTACATGAAGTATTTCTTTTTTATTTTCATTATTGGGCTAAAGCGCCTGACCAAATTTGACAACTTTTAGAGGCCTTTGCAAGTTCCATTTTTCCTCTATCATTGTTGTTTCTGCTGTTCGGTGCTGTCAAATCGTCTCTGGCTCGTAGCAACCCTGTGCACAGCAGAAGGAAGCACTGCCCGGTCCTGTGCCAGCCTCACGATCCTTGCTACACCGGAGTGCATCATTGCAGCCACTGTGTCAGTACATTTCATTGAGGGCCTTCCCCTTCTTTGTTGATCCTCCACTTTACCAAGCATGATATCTTTCTCCAGGGAATGGTTCCTTCTGACAACATGACCAAAGTAGGTGAGATGAAGTCTGGCCATTCTCACTTCGAAAGAGCATTCCAGCTGCACTTATTCCAGGACAGATTTGTTAGTCCTTTTAGCAGACCATGGTACTCTTAGCATTCTTCTCCAACACCACCACTCAAAAGTATCAACTCTTCTTCAGTCTTCCTTATTCATTGTCCAGCTCTCACATATATAAAAGGTGATTGAAAATACCATGGCTTTGGTTGTTGTTGTTGTTGTTATGTATCATCGAATCGGACCCGACTCATAGCGACCCCTCCTTGGGTTTCTAAGGCAGTATCACTACAGAAGTAGACTGTCCAATTTTCCTTCCAGGGGGTGACTGCTGGGTTTGAACTGCTAGCCTTCTGGTTAGCAGTCAAGTGCCCTAGGTACTACGCTACCAGAGCTCATTCAAGGAGACATCTTTGCTCTTCAGCACTTGAAAGAGATCTTTTGCAGCAGATTTGCCCAACAATACATCGTCTGATGTCTTGACTGCTGCTTGCGTTGGTGTTGATTGTAGAACCAAGTAATATGAAACCCGTGACAACTTCAATCTTTTCTCCATCCCCTGTGAAGCTGTTTATTCGATCATTTGTGAGGATTTTTGTTTTCTTTATATTGAGGTGTGATGTACACCGCAGACTTTAGTCTTTAATCTTCATCAGTAAGTGTTTCAAGTCATCCTCACTTTCAGCAAGCAAACTTGTGTCATCTGTGTATCGCAGGTTGTTAATGAGCCTTTCTCCAATCCTGATGCCGTGTTCTTCTTCATATAATCCAACTTCTCAGATTATTTGCTCAGCATAAAAGTTGAATAAGTATGGTGAAAGGATACAACCTTGATGCACTCCATTCTTGATTTTGAATTATGCAGTATCCCCTTGTTCTGTTCAAATGACAACCTTCTGGTCTATGTACAGGTTCCTCGTGAGTATAATCAAATGTTCTGGAATTCCCATTCTTCTCAATGTTACCCATAAATTGTTATAATTTACACAATTTAATGCTTTTGTATAGTCAGTAATACATAAGTAAATATCTATTTGGTATTCTTTGCTTTCAGCTAAGATCCAGCTCACATCAGCAATGATATCCCTCATTACATGTACTCTTCTCAATGCCGCTTACATTTCTGGAAGTTCTCTGTCAGTGTACTGCTGCAACCATATTTGAATTATCTTCAGTAAGATTTTACTTGCATGTAATATTAGTGATATTGTTTGATAATTTTCACATTCTGTGGGATCAACTTTCTTTGGAATGGGTACAGATATGGATCTCTTTCAGTCAGTTGGCCAGGTAACTACTTTCCAAATCTCTTGTCATAACTGAGTGAGTGCCTCCAGCGCAGCATCCATTTGTTAAAACATCTCAATGGGTGTTCCATCAATTCCAGGAGTCTTGTTTTTTGCCAGTTCTTTCAGTGCAGTTTTCACTTCTTCCTTCAGTACCATTGGTTCTTGATCATATGCCACCTTCTGAAATGGATGAGCATCAACACATTCTTTTTGGTACAGTGACTCTGTGTATTACTTCCATCTTCTTTTGATGATTCCTGCATCATTCAATATTTTTCCCATAGAATCTTTCAATATTGCAACTCAAGGCTTAAATTTTTTCCTCAGATCTTTCAGCTTAAGAAATGCCAGCTGTGTTTTTTTCCTTTTGGTATTGTAACTCCAGGTCTTTGCACATTTCATTATAGTAATTGGCTTTGTCTACTCAAGCTGCTCTTATGAAATCTTCTGTTCAGCTCTTTTATCTTGTCATTTCTTCCATTTGCTTAGGAGCTCTGGTAGCGTAGTGCCTAAGGCACTTGACTGCTAACCAGAAGGCTGGTGGTTCAAACCCACCAGCCACTCCTTGGAAGGAAGGTTGAGCAATCTACTTCCGTAGTGATACTGCCTTGGAAACCCAAGGAGGGGTCGTTATGAGTTGGGACCGACTCAATGGCACATAACAACGACAATAACAACACTGTCTACCCAAGGGCAAATTTCAGCATCTCTTCTCACATGCATTTTGGTCTTTTCTTCCTTTCTTGTCTTTTTAATGACCTTTTGCTTTCTTCACAGATGTTGTTCTTGATGTCATCCCACAATTCCTCTGGTTTTCGGTCATTGGTGTTCAGTGCATCAAATCTATTCTTTAATGGTCTCTAAATTCAGGAGGGATATAATCAAGGTCATACTTTGGCTCTCGTAGACTTGTTTTAATTATCTTCCACTTCAAGTTGAACTTGCATATGAGCAGTTGATGGTCTTTTCCACAATCAGCTCCTGGCCTTGTTTTGGTCAAAGATACTGAATTTCTTTATTGCCTCTTGCCACAGATGTAGTCAGTCGGATTTCTGTGTATTCCATCTGGTGAAGTCCGTATGTATAGTCGTTGCTTATGTTGTTGAAGAATGGTATTTGCAGTGAATAATTTGTTGGTCTTGCAAAATTCTTTCATGTGGTCTCCAGTGTTATTTCTGTCACCAAGGTGATATTTTCTAACTACCAGTGACTCTTCTTTCGTTCCAACTGCTGCATTCCAGTCACCAGTGATAATCAGCACATCTTGATTGCATGTTCAGTCAATTTTCAGACTGTAGAAGTTGGTTGAAATCTTCAATTTTCTCATCTTTGGCTCTGGTGGTTGGTGCATAGATTTGAATAATAGTAAAATTAACTGGTCTTCCTTGTAGGTGTATGGATATTATCCTGTCACTGACAGCTTTGTACTGTAGGACAGATCTTGAAACAGTCTTTGTGATGATTAATGTCACACCATTCCTCTTCAATTTGTCATTCCCAGCATAGTAGATCATATGGTTGTCTGATTCAAAATGGCCAAGACCAGTCCATTTCAGCTCACTGTGCCTAGGATATTGATCTTTATACGTTCCATTTCATTTTCGACAACTTCCAATTTACCTAGATTCATACTTTGTACATTCCATGTTCCAATTATTAATGGATGTTTCCATCTGTTTCTAGGCATTTTGAGTTGTGCCACATCAGCCTTCTGTCCCGATGCTCTCATCTTCCAGCACTATATCAGACAGTATTTCAGCACTATTCAGGAAGTTTTCCAGTAATATGTCAGACAGTGTTTCACTGCTATTCATAAGGTTTTCACTGGTCAATTGTTTGAGAAGTGGATTTAGTATAAAGTATATAAAAAGTTAATTGATATGGCTACAAATCGAACTAACCTTTAAGAAATGACTACGTCTATGAAATAGGGATATTTCATATATAGGGTCGGCAGACAATGGTCCTATAAGTTTATGTGAATGATCAGAATCCCCAGTTGTATAGTAGAGCTGACAAGGGGCAAGGTTGTGGTCATTGCTTGGTCACAGTCAGCTACCCAGAGCGACTGAGTAGTTGATCCTGTGGGCTTGGGACCATAGTCACAGGGGACATCAAGCTCAATTGGCATAACATAATATACAAAACATTGTTCCACCTTCTTCTTTGG